GACACGGATATAATTACAATGACAAATTGAATAGTTAACAATGGTTACTATGGTAACGTTTTATTTTCCTATAGAAGCTTCCACTTCCATTTTCATCACTTATTTGCTGTTTTTCGGGATAAAATATAGCCTATGTCCACTGCATATGATATAGCTTCCCGTGGGTGAAAGAATTTTTAAAATCGTTCCAGTAGTTCCAGAGCCTATTCGTTGCTAACAAACAATCTCTTCTATTTATTATATAACTAGCTTTCCGCCAGCGGCTTCGCCCGCGTAGTCCCCAAAGAACTGTTTATTTGGGTATTTCATTCATATTATTTCAACGATATAATTATAATGACAAATCGAATAGTAAACAATGGTTACTATGGTAACGTTTTGTTCCCTATACAGGCTTTCACTCCAATTTCCATTTATTTTTTGGGATTAAATATATCCTATGTTCACTTCATATGATTGAACTTGCCGTAGGTGAAATAATAAAATCGGTTCAGTAGTTTCGGAATCTATTCGATGCAAAGAAACAAATCTTTAGTCTTTATAATATTAGTATAGATACTATTTATTATATGCATAGAGAAAAATACAAAGAGGTTTTATAGATAATCAAAGATTATATCATTGTACTCACTTTTGCCATATTATAGGTAGTTGATTGGTATAGTTATTATAAAATGTCGTTTCAAGAACCAACAAAATTGACTTTGGACTATTGCACCTAAATTTTTTACTAGTTTTTTTCTAACAAAAAAATTAACTCAATATGAAAAAAATCTAATCTCTGAGTTACATCCTAAAATAATGCTAGAAGACAAAGACAGATGTAAAAATAGGTTTTTTAACCACTTTATGCTACGAGTATCTCATCTGAATTTAAATTTCTTGTTAACATACCCAAATACCAAAGAACTAAGTAATCTCTGAGTAACATCCGAAAATTATGATAGCTGTCAAACACATACCATTTTGTGAATTCATAGAACTACAGGAAAAATAAAATGACCAAAACAAGTGAATCGCTAAATTCGGAATACACGAACCAGATTTGAAATACTATTTTAAAAATTGGAAATCCGAACCAAACTCTCATATTAGAAATCAAAACGAACAGTTTAACTAAATGCTAGTTTCATGTGTAATATAAATCACATAGAAGTATAAATAAATTAATAACTAAACCTTAGGCATCTCATGTCATGACTCTTACTTATTGCTGTTCAAGGTTTTTTTGTTATGATATTAAAATTGTATTATTAAATTTGTAAAAACTTAGTATAGTCTTAATAAAAAACGCTTAAAAAAACACTTTGTCCCTCTAAGATGGGACCCGAACTCATGACCTTTCGCAATCCAAGTTTTCTAACCACCGAGCTACCCAGGAACTAACAGAACTGACGAATTTTTCAAACACTTTTTACTTTTTCGCTACTACAGAGCGTATTTTCATCAATGTTCAGGCAATTCACCGAAACAGTCGGAAGAGATATTTTTACAAATATTTAAACTTTCGATAAAAATTAAAATTTGTTCCAATTATTATATTTCTTAAAATTTTAATTCACAATGCTATACTGAAAAATAATCTTAATGGATGGTCTCATCTCAAAGTTCCAAGATTTTAAAATATTTTTCATGAAGAATATTTTTGAGTTATAAGTCAGTATATTTAATATAATAAATTAGTATATTTTGAAACGAACATTTTATTTGTTCCCTAAAATTCTGCAAACAAATATCATGATGTATATATTCATTACTTGGGTTGGTATTGACTTAGTATAACGAAATTGCTTACCCCAGTTAAATAGTTTATTAGAAAACTTATTCGCATCGTTAATTTCTGTTCCACTCCATAGTTTTCGTCTGACTACTACGCAACTTTATAATTTGTTTTTATTATTTCTCTTTGTTTTATTTATCTTTTTAGAATTTCTACTTGTAAAATATTAAAATTGTTGTTTGATACAGGTTCGAAATAAAACGTACATGTTAACTACATCGTATAAAAAAGTTCTTATGTTATAACAAAATAATATAATTCTTTATGCTAACAAAAGCATACAATTTAACTGTACTAATATTATAACGAAGAAAGATTACTTCCATCAAATAGGCTAAAACTACTGGACTGATTTAGAATTCTTTCTCATGCACGGTTGACATACGACCGGTTTATGAATTGAGAAAAGTACAAAATCTTAATTGATTATTTATAATAACTTAAGTTTTTTTACGTTTCACACGGCATAAAGTCCTAGTTATGTCAAACTGCTATCAACTGATCATAAAAAAAATCAGAAACGAAAACCTGTTTAAGCGACGTTCAAAATGGTTTAAGTACGGTTTGAGACGTGCTTAACTTTAATTTCTCAATTCAGAAACCTTGTTAGTCTATAATTTGCGCCAGCGAAGTCACGGGAAAACGGCCAATGCGTCGCAAAAAAATGTTTATAGCAATAAACAGACACAAGAAACCCTTATTATTATTAATAAATCTAAATATACATACATATATAACTCAAAGGTGAGTTACTGACATAGTGATCTATCAACGCACAGCCCAAACCACTGGACGGATCGGGCCGAAATTTGGCATGCAGGTATATGTTATGACGTAGGCATCAGCTAAGAAAGGATTTTGGTCAATTCTACCCCAAAGGGGATAAAATAGGGGATGAAAGTTTGTATGAAACTTTGTCAAATTTAAACCGATCGGGCTGAGACTTTGCATGCATAAAGCTACTATGGCGTAGGCATCCTCTAAGAAAGGATTTTGATAAATTCCACCCCTAAGGTGATAAAATAGGGGATGAAATTTTGTATAAATCTTCTTAGATTTTCGACTGATTGAACTGAAAGATTGGAGCTACTATGATGAAGCGGACGTCCGCTTAAATAGGATTTTTAATAAATTTAACCCCCATGGGGATAAAATAAGGGATGATGGAGGATGTAAATGTATTAGTTTGAACCCATGAATACCTGAATAGAACGAATAAATAAATATTCGTTAGAAATGCTGCTCAAAGTAACTTTACAACTCGGACGAAGTCGCGGGCAAAAGCTAGTTTAATATACAGATTTTATTAACTTCGATATAAATATATATTTAACATTAGTAGGTATTATGGTATTGTTCAAAATATGTTTTAAAGTTTTGTTTCATTTGTCCACAGGAGTAGTCGAAGTGCCCGAATTTGGTGGGCCCATTACGAATCTCACGGTGCCAATTGGAAGAGACGCGACTTTCGAATGTACAGTTGTCAACCTCGGAAACTACAGGGTATATTTTTAATTTTATATCTATACCTATTTATATTAAAAAGAGGTAAAACTTAACTTTATCTATTTGCTTGTTTGTAGGCGGTAATTTTTGGAAAATACTGATCCGTATGTGAATTTTTTACCGAAAGCAAGCTCCAACATACGCGGGTGACATAGGCTATTAATTACGCGGGCGAAGTCGCTGGGTAATAGTTGGTATTTACCTAATAAAACCTTTATATGATCATAAAAGCTCATAAAAGTTTTAGTACCTATCAATATTAGATTAAATTGAAATTTTAAAAAATTAAATTCATCATATTTTTCACAATTGAATTGGTACCACTTTATTTACACAAGTAAATCGCGTGACACACTTTTATGATCATATAAATTGATGAGGTTATAAGTCGGTAGTTAAATTTTAGAAGGAAATTTAACAAAACGCTAATTTATACTGTTATTCTATTGGGAAAACACGCAGATATTAATTAATCTGAGTTATAATAAAATTCAGTTGTTTTCTACAACATCTCATGGGATGAGAATGTCTAATAAATTGATTAAGATCAGGTTTCCCTTTCATAAAATTTCAGTCTTCGCCACTGGTACTTATAATATTTTTCCATAAATATGAGTCTGTCCACAAAAGGCAAATCTGATGGCGGATGTCGTATAAACAAAAATGTAGACGTGTACGCTCGATAGTTTGTTCACATGAAGATTAATATTTCAATCGTCATCATCAGCCCTTTTACGATGGTTAAGGAAACTCCACGCTACAAAAGCAGCCAGTACCAACGATTTAACATGCCTTCCGAAGCACGGAGAAGCTCGAGATATTAATAATTTCGGCTTTCCATCCCGTGACCGACCTTTGCGAAAGTTGCTTAAAAACAACGATCGCGGACCGTGGTGCTTATCCAATGCGCCATCATTATACCTATGGATGGTTGGGCCGTGGCAATATTGAGTCATCGAGCTACTCTCCCTCTATTTATTATTTCAATACGTCAGAAGAATTCCTGATTACCTGATATAATTTTATTTGATGGCACAATAATAACACTCTGTCTGTGCCACGGAAATTAAGAAACTCACAAAAGCGTTTATAATTTGTGGGATTACCAGAAAATTATTATCTTGAGCTCCTCCACTCTTCGGAAGACACGTTAATAAACGCATCCAAATAAAATCTCGACGATTTAAATTTTACAATTATAATATACATGTCCTCGCACATCAATGGTGACAGACATAGTAATAATAATATTGAACTTCAGGTAGATAGTACAATGACAAAATCCAAGTCATTGAGATTCTATGGAGATGCAAGCCTATTCTCCTTGTCCTGCTGGGCCTTACGGTCCGGGTTAACTTGGGACTTATCTTAAGATACCAGGTACAGGACCAAGTGAGAGGGTAATACGGGGGGTTTTGCACGGTAGGCCCACTGCACTGGACCGCCGTCCCTTGCAGTGGGAGAGCCCGGGTTCAGTCAGCCTATCGCCCAGGTCGACGGCATGTTAAGGGCAGTTCCCCTCGATATAAAAAAAGTACTTTAACTTTGTAAGGCCTGCTGGGCCTTACAAAGTGGATAGTAATAAACTGATGTCATTGATTGCAATCATTCGCCTTAGCCCGTAAAATCGAACTAGAGTTATCATACGCTCTATGAGAGCACTAACCCCTCTTCAAACTTCATATATTAGAATAATACGACTCCACCAATTACTATGGTAATGTATTCATTGTCTACAAACTTATTTTAAAATGAATGAAACTTTTCACGAATGCACTAATTCCAGCTGTGCCACCATCTCTTTTCCCATTGGGTATCATTAATTATGCTCTGCGAGTGCATTAAGCTCATCAAATATATCCCCTACCTCATATGGATTTTCAATTAATACCCCTTTTGTTTATCGCAAAATATGTAATTAATCCAACGGTATTATATTCAAATAATGCTCAATGACTATAAGAGACTATAATAATAATAGCTAGTTTATTCATTATAGAAGTAACATACTGCACTAACGCTAAGAGTAATTAACCATACATTCTTTCCCATAATCATATTTACATATTGTCTGTCAAATTTCCTGTGATGCCGGTGTTACAGTGCTTATATGCAAATTCATACTTAACTTTCACATCACACTGAAATAACTACACCCTAGAGTTCTAAATAGCTCCATACGTTTAAATTGCCAGTTACTTTGCTCGAAGGAAGTAAGAAAAGACATGAGTCATATTCTATAAATAGAAACTTTAAGTTTAATTATTTTACTTGCACAATATGAATTATATTTATTTTTTCTTTGTTGCACAGTCAATAAATAAAAGTTTAAGCAGTTTCAGTTTATTGACAGTATAATTTTACTACGTTTGTGTTAAAATGATGCCATATCTTTTTAAAATTTAAACCACCCATATTCTATTACCCACTAATTTACATACAATAAATACTGACAAAATGTTACCATTTTTGTTATCAAATAACCAATACTAAAATTATAAGTTCAGTGAAAAGGCATCCCAGTCATTTTGTGACCTTTAAAAAACGCACGTGTTTTAATTTTTCAGAGGTATTCATCGGTTCAAAGATTCGGTACTAAATTAGAAGCCCCGCCTAGCAAAATTACAGGCACGGTCACTCTTTACCAAGTGTGAAGTATCTATATCTTCGTGTAATAGTAGAAGAAAAACATCATAATAAGACACGTTGTTAACATATTTCAATCGCTTCGTTGACATTTATAACTGTTTTCATATTCGCCGGCTTATAGATTCTGAAATTATCATCTAGTAACACACAACCAAATTGATCAATTAGACAGACTTGTACAAAAAATAAAAGTTTATTTACTTCTTCTCATTTTATTAATGGCTTATATGCGCGTTTTGCACAATTCTGCCAATGTCAAGTGATTAAATTAGTTAAAATAAATTAATTTCCACATGTAAAGGGACCACCAACCTTTACACGTGGAAATCGAAATTGTTTCAAAATATACCTAATATACCTTGGGTAGATTCTGCAGTTAGGTCGAAACAATTTCGAAAAGGAGGACCCAGCTGGACTGGGCAGCATTTGGTAAGCTACGTCCACTATTCTTATCATCTCTGTCACAATGATTGAAGACGAAAGTTTTCGATCAGTGCATTCTACCCATCATGACGTATGGTGCTGGAACGTGGACACTCACAGTACAGCTAGTCCACTAGTTCAAAGTCACTAAGCAAGCTATGAAACATGCTATGCTCGGAGTTTTTCTAAGGGATAAAATTCGTAACGATATCATCCGATAGAGAATCAAAGTCGTCGACATAGCACATAGGATTTGTAAGCTGAAGTGACTGGCCATATCTGTCGACGAACCGATAACCGATGAGGTAAACGAGTACTAGAGTGGAAACCAAAAATCGGCAAGCGTAGGAAGAGCTCCAGCAAGTTGGAGCGATGATTTGAGGAAGGTCGCTGGTAGGAGATGGATCGGAATAACCCAAAACAGGAAAAAATGGAGCATATTGGGGGAGGAGTATGTTCAGTAAACTGTTGAGGACTGACGATAATGAAAGGAAAATGAAATGAATGAAAGATACCGAGAAAAGATCAGTTTATTTATTCTTCTTCTTTTATTAATGGTTTATCTGCCAATGTCAAGTGAATAAATTTATTTCTGCATGTAAAATGAAAATTCATATTTTTCAAAAAATCTATTTTGACGTTTTCAAAAATAAAAATTCATAGACGACTTTTTTTATTTAGTTGACCTTTTAGACACTCGTACTTAGAATTTGTAACATGAAACCCAGTTCTTAGAAAATAAACTCGTACTGTTATCACGTTCACAGTACTGGAGCCCTACAAAAGAGCGGTACGATTTAGTTTTGTCTCTTTCCGTGAGGCACGAAATCGTCCTCGCCCACAGACTAGAAATGGCCCTACAATAATAATAATGAATGTACACTCATCAGCACGTAAAGCTTAAATCTGTCAAATTACTCCACTTAATTTAAAACCTTTATTCATTATGGGTAAAGTTTAAATTAATTTTACTTATTGTTATAGCCTTGCACCTACCATATGTTTTAAAAATTTAAGAAAAAAGTTTCTTATCAAAATACAAATTTTATGATTATGCACAGGTGGGTTGGGTGAAGGCAGACACGAAAGCAATCCAGGCCATCCACGAGCATGTTATCACACACAACCATCGTGTGTCCGTGTCCCACAGCGACCACTCCACCTGGTATCTCCATATCAAAAATGTTCAAGAGGAGGACCGCGGACAGTACATGTGTCAGATCAACACCGACCCCATGAAGAGTCAGGTGAGTATTCCTATCGCCAGTCGAATAGCCATCAGTCATCGACTCAAAAACTAGCGTGAGTTTGTCGAGCTGCCCCGTCAGTGGTTTAAAATAATCTTTATTAATTTATCTAACTGTGTATATGAAGCTGCTTAAACCGTATCTTAGAAAAATAATGAGTAAAGTCTGTCGCAAGAAGATTTGTTGATGTTTTTCTAATTTTGAACAGAAATCTCTGCTAAAAGTAGTAGCTTAAGATAAGAACCCATGAAGAATCAGGTGAATATTCATATCGCCAGTCGAATCGCCATCAGTCGTCGACCCAAAAACTAGCGTGAGTTTGTCGAGCTGCCCCGTCAGTGGTTTAAAATAATCTTTATTAATTTATCCAACCGTGTATATGAAGCTGCTTAAACCGTATCTTAGAAAAATAATGAATAAAGTCTGTCGCAAGAAGACTGACCAGATGAAAAAAATCAAAAGTCTGGAGAAAACCTGATTTCCGTTGAAAAATCTTGAGATTTTTTTGCAATTTTTCTCTCAAACGTAATTATAGTTTAACGAAATCAAATTATTATCGTTTTTATATACTGCGGATTTCGCTCACTCGTTGCACATTGGGCAGCACTCGATTACTATCAAAAAGTTGGGAAGATTATTTTTACTTTAGGTAACTTATTATTAAAGAGGTCTTTAAAATGTACTATATCGGGTTGGCACAAAAGTAATGAGACACTTGGTTTAAGTTTTTACTTTTTTATTATTATTACAATAAAAAAGTTTAGTCAATGATGTAATTACCATTAGTATCTAAGACTTTGGATGCCTTTTGCCCAGAACTCTGATGGCTGTACCTCGAAAAAGTTGTTCAACTCCGCCTCTACGTCAGAGAAATCATTAAATTGTTTACCCCGCAAATGCTGTTTCAGGGCTCTAAACAAATGATAGTCTGATGGGGCGAGGTCTGGGGAATAAGATGGGTGGGGTATCGTCTCCCAGCCCAAGTTCTCCAACTGCCGGCGAACCACAGATGCGCCGTGAGGTCGAGCGTTATTGTGCAGTAAAACTACATTGACTCGTCTTCGTCGTTTTTTCTTGATAGCGGCAGATAATTTGGTAAGCTGGGTTGAATATTTGTCAGAGTTTATAGTTTCATTGTGTAATAGCTCATAAAACAGTATGCCTTGCGCATCCCAGAAACAGCAAAGCAGAATTTTTCGGCGGTTCTTTTGACTCGGCTTCGGTTGAGTTGGTGGCGTTTCTTCTCGAGGCAGCCAAAAAGCACGACGTGTATCATTCTCATAATAAATCCATGATTCATCTCCAGTAACCAGATCTGACAAAAACTCTTTACGTCGGGGTCGCAGCAAAAGTGACTGACAGATAGCGACACGGACTGCACGACTGGCGTCTGTAAGGATGTGCGGTACCCACCGAGCCAAAACTTTTCGATAACCAAGCTCATGCAGATGGTGTTCCACGGCGTGGTGACTGCATTTAAGTGCTTCCGCTAATTCACGATTGGTAGCATCCGGATTCCACTCCAGTTCGCGGCGCAAATCGTCATCATTCACTGCGGGTGGTCGCTCTGAGCGTGGCTGACTTTCAAGGCTCCTGTCTCCTGATTTAAAACGGTCAAACCATCGGGACACCGTCGCATGGCTTGTACTTCCAGTGCCTAATGCATTGTTGATATTGTCAGCCGCAGCCCGCGCACTGTGGCCTAACAAGTACTCGTATAAGTATAGTGTTCGAACTTGTCGCTCGTCCATTTTTCTTCAAACTGACTAAACAAATCGCGAGCGCGGCTTTATATACCCTACACCAGAAGTACCTAGAATGTTCTACAACATTCTAGAATATTATCGAAAAAATTGATTTTAAAAAGGAAATGTTATAGATTTTTCTAGTGTGTCTCATTACTTTTGTGTCAACCCAATATATTATTACAAATTCTAAAATCCTGATATTTTGAGATATTTGCAACATCTGATCGCAATCTTGAGAAGATTCCAAAAATCCTGAGATTTCAGGACGAATCCTAATACGTATATGGTAACCCTGGTTGGAAGTAACACGATGTGTTAAAATTTCACGAATATATTTCTTTGTTGATGTTTTTCTAATTTTGAACAGAAATCTGTGCTAAAAGTAGTAGCTTTTTTTTTTTTTTTTTTTTTTTTGACGCTGAGAAATGCGTTACGCATACCCGCTTCACCCTGCGCGGGCTCCACGGGTGATGTGGGACTCCTCCTGTGGACCCACCCCCGTAGGGGCTAGACAAGAAACAGAAGTTTACCCACTAAAACTCAGCGATGTCCCTCTCATGGAAGGCGATGCGCGGGATCGGCCCGAAAGCCATACACCAAAGTAGTAGCTTGAGATAAGATGATTGAATTAGATTTATCTTCGAAATTAAACTAAAATTCATTACAAGTATAGCCATTCAATACTAAAATAATCAAAAAAAAATTGTTTGATTATTTAATTTATACACAATGTTTCCTTATGACCTTTTACACATAAAACCGCGGCGTTTTTTGAGTTTTATAATACCGAAGTTACCAACCACCCTCATATTTTCAACTATGCACCAAAAATATTATGACACGCTTATATTGACGGAATGGTACTTGAGTGCGCCTGGTCTCAAAGCGTACCAAAACCTAGTTTTTATGTAATAAAAATTTTACTGATTATGACCGCTAATGAAAATACTCAAATTATATACTTGTACTGTACACGTCATATAACTTGCAATGGTAAAAGGGCTTTCAGTTTTATCCTTAATATATATATTCAGAAACGTTTTCAAAATAACAAATATTATAATATTTTTTATCACAATTCGCTCTTACTCATGTAATAGTAATACTTATATCAGTGAGAGGGTAGATTTACGTTAATTTTTAACGGAAAACAAATTCAAAGAATGCTAGTCTAAATAAAATGTGTATAATTTTGTGAAGACTTATTTATAATGTAAAGCCTATACATATATAAGTAGCTCGGTGGCGTAGTGGATAAGCGCCGCGGCCGCGGTTAAGCAACTTTCGCAAGGGTCGGTCACGGGATGGGTGACCAAAAAATTGCTATCACGAGCTACTCCATGCTTCGGAAGGCACGTTAAGCCGTTGGTCCCGGCTGCATTTGCAGTCGTTAATACCCTCCAATCCGCATTGGGCCAGCGTGGAGGGTCATGGCCCATTCTCCTTAACCGTCCATAAGGAAGGCCTAAGCCCCTGCAGTGGATACGTAAAAGGGCTGATGATGATGATGTAGAAGTAGATGTTCTGACTTACTGTCTGGCAGACATCGCACAGCCTATTTTTAATCCATGAAATCTAATGATTTTTTCATTAGATTTCTTGGATTTCTTGCTTATTTAACTTAAGTTGGAAATAAATAAATAACATAGAGTTATTAGATTCCTAAGAGACATCTCAAACTTACGCATTGCCCGAAATATGACACAATTATTAAAAGCTTTATTAGGTTAGGGTCGATATAAAGTCAGACCGCCACGCCATTCGACGGCCAACAGCATTAGAATTAATTAACAAGACCAAACTATGTCCATTAAGGGTGTCTTATATCCATAATTATATTATATTTAGGTGCTAATTGCAGATTCTTATTATTAATAAACCATATATAAAAAACTTAATAGATAGAAAGTTTACTCAGCCAACATTTTATTATTCAAATATTTCCACATTATATGTACTGAATATATTGATTTTTATGTGTTTGTTAATAGAATTGTATCTAGTTTTATATCCTTATTTTGTAAAATTCAATATGATACTTCAATTATTTCCTAAGAAGTAGAAAATTTATCAACAAATAACATTTAATAGTAAGGTACAATTTGATACCCTTCCATTAATTTTAATCCAATTAAATTTAGTTCTAAAAAGTAAAATATCAAATTCATAAATTGAAAGTGAAACTGATTGTAGTCATATTATTAAGGTAAACCGAAAAATAATTAAGGTTACAAAATAAGGATTTATGTGCTTACCTCTTTTGTGAATTGTTCAAATTGAAAAATTAAACGAGAGCAAGTCTAACTCGCGCACAAAATGTTTCGCCCAAATATTAAATTTTAAAAGCCACAAAGACTATTCGTGAATTTCCCTAAAATCTTTGATTAAATACTTGTCCCTGAAATCTTTAAATATTAGAAAACCATTTTTTTGTCCTGTACTGATTCTGTTTTAGGTACAGAGCCCTTATGGGAGCACATTCGAGTCCGAATCGTATAGCCAGTCATATAGCCGCAAATTTTACAATACTAGCTGTAACCCACGGCTTCACTCACGTGGTCCGACGGTACTTTGTGCACACTGGCCTGCGGCGGACTTTATGCCTAAGGCAATCTCTGCCAGTCCACCTGAACGGTTGTTGGAGATCACTTATAAAGCGATAAGAATAAAAAAATTAAACATAATATTAAATTAATATACTGACTGAATAACGAAAGAACTATTAAGACCTTTTAATTACGCCATCGATTTGCTTGGATTTATATATCTAACAAATGTGCTTATTCTGTACTTTCAGATAAAGGCATAATTTAAAGGTTTTCAAAAGAGTTGTTCAATATCTTCGAGTTAAAACATTTGGTCGAATATTACTCGTAAATTTTGTAAAGGCAACTGAAGTATGATAAGTTAAATTGAATGACCAAACTATAAGGATTCCTTGTTGACTATGGAACGGCAAAATTCAAAACAAAAGTTACTTTTTTGATAAAAATCGGAATTAATTCCGATTTTAAAGTACAATAGCGTCATCTAGTAATCAGAAGCGACAGCTAAATAATTCTCCATTAAATTATGTTATTGAAAAAATCGCAAAATTGAAAACGAATCTACTTTATTTTATAAATATCGTATACAAACCTAACAAAAAACAAAATTCAGTTTTAAAAGTACAGTAGCGTCATCTAGTGATCAGTAGCGACATCTAAATGTAACATTTACGTGCACTTAACCGACACAACATATGCATTTAATAATAGCGATAACGATTCTACCAATTTGAATTATTCAAAACATTATTTATTTAGCAGATCTCGGATTTGCAGAACTTATTGAAATCTAAATCCTATTAAGTACAATTCATGAAGGAATTTCAGTATTTCTTACTAGTTATAATATTCTACATTTCGTTACATTTCCTCATAACTTACGGATATTATAACGAGAGCTTTGCCAGCCTCTTTAGAGTAGTGATTTTATATATTATTTATATTTGTTTTTTTACAACTTTGGTCACCTTTTATTATAAATCTACTAAATGGTCTTTTATGTGTAAAGCTCGGCAAAATTTAAATAACGTTGTTCTTTATTATTAAGTATTGACAATGGTTTTACTAGGACCTTCATGGTACAGTGGATAGTTCTGCGATGCAATAGTTAAGCAACTCTCGCAAAAGTTATTTATAAGATTGGTCCCCAAAAAAATATTATGTTAAACCATTGGAACCGGTTGGATCAACAGTCCCTAACACTAATCCGCACTGGATCCGCGTGGTGGGTCAGAACTCATGCTCCTTATTTGATTAGATACGATACCGTTCTTCCATAGGGAAATTCTGTAACACAACAGTAAAGAGTCAATAATATTTATGTCTTTGCCTATGCCAATGATGTTGGTTTCACTATTAAAATCTTTTCATAGATGGGCTTCTTAGATGTCGTGATACCTCCAGACTTCATACCCGAAGAAACGTCGGGCGACACTATGGTTCCCGAAGGTGGGACTGCGAGAGTCTCATGCAAAGCACGAGGCGTTCCACCCCCAAGAGTCATGTGGAAGAGAGAAGATGGACAAGAGATTGTCGTAAGAGATCAAACTGGTGCAAAATCGAAAGGTAAAAATGTATCTTTGAAGCAAACATAATCTTTATTTTCTATTGCCGCGCACTAAAATTTAAGAAACTTTATCTAATTTCAAAATAATTACTATGACGGTTTGGCTATAAAAATGTTATAGCCTGACAGAATTACTTTTGTCATTTATAATGTGCTAGTTTTGACATAAGTATTATTCATTTGCACATGTTTCAGAACTGGATTCATGATCTTCTGAAAAAGATTCGGTAATCTTCCGAAATCTTTTGAAAAGTGACTTCCGTGCTTTGACAGACCTTAATCTCTCTTTATATCTTTCTTCATATTAATTCGCTCAGCAGTTTGATCGTCAAAACATAAAATACTCATCGAATTTTTACAATCTCTTGAAGATTGCTTGAAGAGGAGTTAACATGCAGTACTAACTACGTGTCCATATGCACTGAAAAGTATTCGATTAAATTGACGTCCAATCTTTAAACAACGTTATGTTTCATTTGAGCGTTTTATACGCTTTTTATACCCCTAAGTTCCCAAAGGGCACATTGATAAAGTCACAGAGATTGAAGTTTCTAATCCTCTTTTTGGCACAATATTAAAACTAAATTCTACCGGGCTATAGACAAAGAGTCGGTGAATCGTATTACGGTTAAGCTAATTAAAAAGCAGTGTTCTATTTTCAAAGTAATGTCTCATTTTCATAATTGCAAAGGTAAACTTTTTGCCCGAATTTATTCCGAAAATGCAGCGTTGCAATGGAAAAATATTCCATTTGTCTTAGTCCATTTGAATAGCGCAAGTACGCTATTGTTTTTCGCGAATATGTATAAATAATACCAGTGTCTGTGTGACCGCATTTGTTCCCACAATGAGCCGTACAGCGACCATTCTCGGGATGAGTTTCGAGTCCAGTATTGTTTAAAGTTTGTCGTAATTAGTACAGTTCTACTGAATAGACTCCTAGATCTTATTGTACTGAACAATTTTAATGGGGTCACTGGAAAATCGTATCATTAAGTCTATACGAATAATAGGTCGTCAGAAAGTTAATGGTCAAATCTCCTCGTTTAATATGTTAATTGATGAAAAGTGATATAACAATTTAGAAATCACGATGAATCATTCCGTGATTGTGGTACGTTGGAAATAATGAAACATGATGAGTCATACGGTTTGTGGTATGTTGGGGTCAAAGCGATATTTCATATAAAAGGATTATCCTTTTGTTTTTTTGCTTTGACGGATTTATTTCTGATTCTCATTTCTAGATATACTCAATTACATCAATATATTATATTTTCACTAATACTACATTCTATTCTACTGACTATAGTTACAACTTCAGCCATTTTTTTGCAGGTGGGTATATGGTGCTCATAATGTCATGAGTACGGTACTTATCCCATACGCCTGCAACGAAATATACCTATGTTCAGCATTTCAATGTGGTAAAACATTGTAAGGTCTTATGACTTCTGAGGATGTTACGTGTAGAGGGGAATCATGTAGATTGATTGATTGATTTTGAGATTTGTTGCCGTTTATGTACAAGTATTTATTTGCGACCGGTGCCCATGTAAATAAAAAACGTGAAAGTTGCTAAATATTGCAGTTATAAGCTTTTATTTAAGTTGTCGTTTTGTTTAGGTCCAGACTTATTTAACCCACTTCGCAATTTTGGATTGAACTGAAATATCGTATGCAATATGTATGTACAGTGCAATATGTTATAAAGATGATCCAATGATGGAGTCGGATGGTATCCATGGAATCTCTATGTAAACAAATCAATCCTATTGTGTTTGGGTTAGTTTGTTTTGCCTTAACAAGGTCTTTGGTCCAAGACAATATACAGGGTTTAATGATGTAACTGAAAAGTGGCTATGGAATTTTACCACACATATACACAGAGAGCCCGGGTGACCTCTTAGTGCTCATCTCACTGCTTAATAATACAATCACCGATCAATAAAATTGAATATCAGAAATCTCCCATATATCGCACGTGGATGTCATTAACCAGTTTAAATACGCCATTATAATTAAAAATCCCGTCGACTTTCAGCTTGATTTTGATTTGTGTATTCAAAATCACCAATTCAAGGTCGTATAAAAAAGGATATTACTCTTTATTCAAAACATATCTATACGCTAATGCATGTAACGATTTGTTTGCAGTGCTGACTTACCAAGGCGAAGTTCTAAGGCTAACGAAGATTTCCCGTTCAGAGATGGGAACGTACTTGTGTATAGCCGGTAACAACGTTCCACCAACTGTCAGTAAAAGGATTCATATCAGTGTACATTGTAAGTATATTACTACAAAAGAACAAAAAATCCTAAATTATTTATTTAACAAGTTTATACTCTTTAGAATGTACACAGTATTTGACTTTACATTCAAACTCTTTTGAACAGTTGTTGAAATTTAGAAGTACTTTTATTAAAAGAATGAATAACGACAATCGGTAACCGTCAGAAGGTGGTAATCGCACATATGACTTCCTTAAGTTGAAAGCATATAAAACAGAATCATTAAAATGAATCCTTGCGATCCGATATCCATTTTTTTTATTAATACGTGGACAAACCTATGAATACATATGTAGACTTATGAAATTCAGAAACCCATCGTTTTATAATGAAATTAAAAACAAACAGGTCAAATTCAAAACATCCTTTGTTTAAATAATAAGAATCAAATACTTTTTGGTCTATAGTTCATCCAGTAATCCAGGTGCCTAACCAATTAGTGGGGGCGCCTCTGGGCACCGACGTCACTCTCGAATGCTACGTAGAATCTTCGCCCAAATCCATCAACTATTGGGTCAAAGATCCAGGTACGAAATTCTTTGTATGTTTTGGTAAAAAGTTGTTTCATAATGTGTGGAATAATTTCGTAGTTTTAGGTAGCTATAAACAGTGTTGATAATGAAGTGTATGGAGCCAACGTTTTGTAATTGGGCTATTAGAAATTGCGTGGCTGCTTTGGACATTTAATTGCAGCATTTACTGAGATATATATAAAACAATCAAACTAGAGACAGACGGCAAGTGTTTAGACCACGAAACAAGTATCCTTGAGCGAGTTTTGATAGTTCTTACCGCTGTAACAGATTAGCAGAGAGTTCTTGTTTAAAATTTAAACAATAAGTAATCAAATTTTGATTAAACGTCCAGTATAATTCAGAAGGCAGTCGTTTAGTGAAAAGTTTTAGATCCAAATCTCTAGTAGAACAACTATGACAGTTGAATGTTAGATGTCAAGAACGCGACGAGATAATAACCTGAAATTATAGATATCTTCAAGTCTACATTCCTTTGAAGCTGTGTAAAAATAATACTTATAGATTTGCTTAAAAATAAATAATAATAATTCATTTATTTAAAGATACGCCAGTTTACGCTGAATAATTATTTACTTTCTTTCCTCACAGATCACTTTGCAAAATTATACTATTTTCAAACCAACTACATTTCTCGATGTTCCCAATACTATTTAGAAAAATTAAAATAGGCCCCCTTGTTAATCCTGTGGTAGATTCAAGGGTAATCTTCATATATGCAAAATCTTATATAAAATAAAAAAAAAATCACATCAATAAATTTTAGTTTATTGTAAAATAAATTATGTTGCCACTTTAATCTTAGCAGAGCATTAAATATAGTCAAAATAACATAACTTATCTTAATCATTACTTATCTTCTATCTAAATAAACTTCCGACTATTTCACAAATCAGTTATAATTAAGTAGCCTGGAATTAACCCACGATACTATTGTAAACAGAACAATTAAATCAACTCCAACAAACTGTCCCGACTACCGTCATCAAATTAATCCATAAAGGCACAGAAAATGTTCGATTCAATTCGAATGGAAAAGAGAAATCCCTATAAAAGATTTACAGTAATCTCTTTAAACTCCTCAATCAATCTTCGGAGAACCTTTAATAAGGAAACTTTATCACGTAAATATAACCTAAATTTTAAAAATACCTGCATTTGATTAACTCGCCGTGGTATCCATGATAAAAAAGGAAACAAATTATAAGGCAGCCATAAAACTCTAGGTGTCTGCGCGAAGTTTTTACATTTTTCATAAAACTTTACCCGAGGTAATATGAAATTCTAATATTGAATTTGAAAGCAAGTGTTTTTAAGTAATAAATTGTTCCACAGGTGAACTGATAATACCTTCGGAGCATCACGAGATGACTGTAAGACAAAAATCCATGTTCGAAGCTGAGATGACTATGACTATAAAGAATATACGGCGGGAGGATCTCGGCAGTTATATATGTGTGGCTAAAAACTCCTTGGGCGATGTGGAGAGCAAGATTCGACTTTACGGTAATTGTAATAGACCTTATATTATCAATTTATGAATTGCTACTACTATCCTTTGACTTACTTTTAGAGTCATTCGATTTGGAATTTTATTTATTACTCCCTCATCTCGCACCTTTTTAGATGCAACACAATTGGAATATTAAAGGAATAATGGATTCGAAATATAAAATACTTTAATATATATATGTTTGATTTTCCGCATCGAAATCTAACAATGTTTAAGATTCAATTACTAAATTGAAAAGAAATCTATACTGTATACAGGCTTTTTATTGATCCAGAAAAATTAACTTTTTGTAGCGTTTCGACGTCCTATTCAAGATGACCCAATACAAAGATGATTCTTTTGTTACCCAATCCTGCAATATATATTTAACTACAACCTTTTTTTGCGTAAAAAAAAATAACTTGCCCTATTTTATCGTGCAGAAATCCCGGGCAACGATAGGCACGTCTACCAATACCCAGACGAGAGGATAACTTCAGAAGACGAGTACGGAACAGAAATTTACGACGAAGATCTGGACAACGATAATATGAAAAACCGTGTACCGGATAGAGCGAACAAATGGTATTCTAATGACGCTAAAATAATAGTTACCAGTAACAGTGACGCCGATATGTTATTAGCCACGAAAATATCAATTTTCGTATACATTTTCTCATTACTTTTTTAGGAAGTCAACATAAACGCTTTGATATTACATGAGAAAAAATTGAGCGTTGGTAAAAATTATACCGATTCGATACGACAATTTTAATAATTGTCTAAGAATTAAATTTGAATTAGTAAAACACTATAAATTGGAACGGTTTTTATGTATAATTTGTGGCTACTCTAATTTGTGCAATTGTTTTACTTATAACAATTAATGAATTCAAATACCATAAACGTGTAACGTGATAATAACTAGATATATATGAAAATGTAAATAACGATTTAGATATTTTATCTAAGGTGTATTAAATTAAAATAAATATAACTTAAATTATCTGACGTTGAATGTAAACAAAATAATATGTAAAAGTTAGCAACTTTAGGATAAAAAACTGTTTATACTGAATGTGCCATGTATATTTGCTATTATCTTAATAGATTTATTTATATTACATAGAATTTATTGAGTATAATTATTTTTAAGTGTAAATAATATGTACAATGTTTACATATAGAACGAATAAATCATATAGTTATTTGTTTGAGACATATAACGACATTAAAGCAAAAGTAATAAGAATTTAAATTTATTGCCGTGCTTGTACTTCAGGTGTAACTTTGATGGATAATTTGAAGTAACGTATTTGTTTTAGTAAATAGCCGCTTGAATATTTCAAGGAGTTATTGTATAGGCTGTATCTATAAAAACAAGAAATCAGTTTTAACTTGTTATAGAATTACATTTCTTTTTACAAAGAGGTTAGTTATAAAAATATGTATCCACAGAGATAATAAAAAGCAAATAAAGAGTATTAATAAAAACTAAGAATTCACTGCTTTTCGTCTGGTATGAGAACAACAGACATGACATATAATCAGTACATTTGTGATTTTTTGCAAAAAAATTGTGTATTCGAAAAAGCTGACTATTTTTATTTAAAGATGTCACATTTTTAGTTATTGCAGCGTTTTTTTTAAATATTGCAAATACTAAATTTTAAGATGAAACGATGAAATCTCCACAAAGTTACATCTGACAGTTCTTTCAGCGTATCTCTTAATAGCGTAGAAGAATGCAAATGAATAACCTCTTCCGAGAAATGTATGTTAATACCATGATCGTTACAAAAAATATAAAAACAAGGACTTGTATTCAAATTGTTTTTTTTTTTATTTATCGACCTCATTAAAAAACCTTAGACAGTTTATTGGATGCTTCAACTTCATTGATTAATTGATAATGTATTTATTCATAAACGTAATTAAGAAAGTAATTCCCAAAGAAATTCGCTAAGTGAAATCATAACTAAAATCACATTTAAAGACAACCATCTAGAAGTGAAGGTTACTACGGAACTTTAAAAAAGTGACTAAACTGCTGACACTGCACAATCGTTAAATGTGTCGACTCAAAGAATCTCAGAACTTTGTGTGAAAATGAGCTCCGAAAAAAAATTCCTAGTGGTAATTTTAGTAGTAGTTTCATAAAAAATAATCAGATTTTCATTTAATAGATTTGTGGAACAAATACATTCAGCATTCGTTAGAAGGTTGTTTCGCGGTGCTACCACCCGGTGTTTCGAGCTCCTGACCTTCGAACTGGATACTGAGTGATGTATAGTACTTCAACATACTGAAAAATCAAGGTTTCGAAAGATTTTGTACATTTTTTGTCACGAGCGCTCCGTCTATAAAGGAAAAAGACTTATTAGATTAAAAAAATATCTAAATAAAAAACTTTGACGAAAAACCTACATTATTTTTAATATATATCATTAGTCTATAAAAGTTAAAAATTGATAACGCAAATTTTTTCTCATACGTAGATGACACGGCATTAATATTTTATGATTCTTCCTTGCAAAGGGTTAAAAAAGTCTCTGGAATAGAATCATCACATATGGCTGGGTGGTTAAAGATAAATCTGCTGTCATTAAATACATTTAAAACTAATTTTATGTGTATTTCCATCTACAACAGAACACAACCGCATATCAACTATGGTGTAAAATACATCTTAGAAAATGTCTAGATATTAATGATTGTGATTGCGATTGCATTTTTATCCACAAATTAAACTCAATAAAATATTTGGGCGTCAAACTGGACAAAAGATTAACTTGGGACACACATATTGATCTTATTAGTGGTAGAATAAGAACATTAATTTGGTTATTTAAAACTTTGAGAAACATTGCTTACAGAAAATTATTAAACACAATATATATACCTATCCCTTGCTAAATCTATTATGACATACAGCTTCCCAATGTGGGGAGGCGCTTCTAAAATTAAATTTATTGAAATATAGCGAGCACAACGTTCCTTACTGAAAGTCATGTATTTTTAACCATTAAGATCAGACAAATGCTTTACAGTGATATTGAATTTATAATAGTGAGAAAATTATACATATTTCATTCTATTTCAAAATTACACAAAAGAATGGAATTCAATGGTGATTTCACTAAGGATCGGAGAAGTGAAAGAGTTATAAATCGAAATAAAATTAGAAAATCATTTGCTGAAAATGATTATATTCAACAATCAACTCATATTTATAACCATTAAATAAATTTTTAAATGTATATCCCCTTGATTATTTTAATTGTAAAGAAAAACTAATAAACTGGATAAGACCTCTTGACTATCAAAATACAGAATAATTACCGAAATACATTTGAAACATCAAACAAGCTAGGGTGGAAAACATGTGACCCCGTCGTGCCACGAGTGTGGTGCTGCGGAGGACACTGCCCAGCACACCTTACAAGTGTGCAGCAAGTGGGCTGCGTAGCGTCGCTCTCTGGTTGCGACTGTAGGCGGAGACCTGTCGTTGCCCAGCATAATGAAAACCATGCTGGACAGCGAAAGGTCATGGTGGGCGATGGTTTCTTTCTATGAAGAAGTGATGTCAGAAAAGGAGGCCGCGGAGAGAGCACGTGAAGCAGCTGCCCACGCAAACTCTATTCGAAGAAGGAGGACGGGGAGAAGAAGGCGGCACTATGCACGCCTCATACCCCCATAGAGAAAGGCCAAATCCCCTGGTCTTGGGGTCCCTTGAAAGGAGGGGGCTCTGGCGGTCGCTGGGGGGGGTGAAAGCGTTTGGTGCATTCATCCTTCCCAGGGGTCGCCGGGTCTCACCCACCAATTCCGCCTTCCGCCGCCTTCCCTTTTCTCTCATTGGAGAGAAGTATGGGAGAGTGGCGGCAATGGGGGGACAGGGGACCTCAGGATCATCCCATCTGGTGGGATGACCCTTTGGACCGCATTCGCGGCGTCGTTGGATGCGCAGCGGTGCGCACCATTTAGGGTGTAACTGATGCGTATTCGGCGTCGCCGCGGCGGCGATACCAACAGAGGGACGAGATCCGTACCTGCCCAGCGTTGTTGTTTAGAGCAGAAAAACAAATAAATAATTCCTATAAACGTCCATGGTAATAAATAAGGTTCCTCAGTCAATTTATATGGAAATAAGATTTTTTTTTGAAAAATATAATTTTTTTCACTCTAAATATCCATATTGGGTTTTGCAGGTTACTACGTGTTTGCTTTCCATAGTTGATATGTATTACAGCTATAGAAGAGCAATGTTTCTTGATACAGATACTTATTATGTAAAAAGAAACATTGTTAACTGCATTATTAAAACTACATTTTATGTGAAATAAAGCCATTTGTTCCGTAACGAAACAGGTGATCGATAATTAACAATAAAAGACAACACAACTGTAAGTAAATTTTTTATTGTCTATGGGCAAGGCGATTAGCTGTCTTCGTTCCAAATCCCTACCCTTAATCCTTGGGTGACGGTTTTTACTGTGAATTCAAATTGCTAACTGCGCGCACCTAATTTTGATTGAGCTTGGTGAATCGTTCGTTATCGAGAATAAGGACATTTCGGAAGAACGGTGGATCAGTGCCTATGGACTATATATCGTGTATGATATCTTCGCTGGTAACCGCGTCGACGCACCCCGTTCCAGAACCCAGCCCTCGGAACCCGTGGCGGTAAAGGATCGCTTGCGGTGAGTCGCCAACCCCTGCTTAATATCATACACCATTATTATTATTATACACGATTGACAGGACAACAATAATTTATACTAATATTACAGAGCACAAAGATCATGTTGTTTGTTTTTTTGTATGGCGGGTCAGAAAAGCTATAATTTACGAGGGTTAGTCGTATAATGTAGCTTCCTGTAGGTAAAAGAATTTTTAAGATAAATCTAATAATTTGAAGCCTACTCGATGGAAATAGAAAAATAAATCTTTCTTTATATGATGGAAAACCTTCTGAGTATCGTTCATCACCAAACAGCTGCATTCATCATCGATGTTATGTGTGTAACCAACTCCAGTTCCATTGAAATCCGGGATCTGGGTTAGCTTGCAAGATTTAACCCATACTGTCTGACGAACGCGTTGGGTTAAATAAAAGCGCATTAAACAATCTACCAAACGAGTATATAACAAAATTATTATCATTATTTACATAATTATCAACTATGGTCAAACAAATTTCAAATAATTATTTCAACTAAAAGCGCCTATTTATAATTGTATATCGTATTTCATAAATAGCCCATTTAAATGGTTGTTAAATGTGTAATTATCTTCTATAATTTAATTCCTCTTGACAACAAAACTGTTGAAGTATACAATTTCTTTTGATAGTGTTTGAATAGTGTTTATAAAACGTTTAACCGATTTATTTTCTTTCCCAAAAGAAACTGGAATCCCACCCTGGCAAGCTCAAGTACTCTTGACAATAATATTTATTTTTGTCTACGTCATATTGTTATTTTCATTATCTCTTACTCAAATCTGCTGAGTCGCACCGCTCTGAGTAATTGGACGTCGAAATTGGCTAAGCCCAAACTGTCGATCGCAACGTAAATCCGGATTTAATAAGCTAAAACATCACAGAATTTACTAAGCGATTTAATAAATTAGTTTAGTAAGTGGAATTTTATCAAGATTAGAACGGACGGATAATTTTTTAATGATATAACATCAATGAAACGATTAATAAATAATAGTAATGTAAAAAGCATCTAATTGCTTTTAGGTAGAGGCCATTGATTTTATTTTAAAACCTAGTTAGTGAAAATAACACATCAATTATAATTTTTTTTTTCCGATTTTATTTTCGAGTACTACACGTACGAATAGATATATCTTCGGTAATTAGATATGACAAATTTTAATAAAAATAATTTATAGTTTTTCTAACGATAGATTTGTCAGCCTCTTTAGGAAAGTGTTTTATTTATAAATAAATTTTATACGATTTTGTCAGTTATTGTTTTTGCTGTCTATCTGTGATCTTGTGCTTTAATGCATATTCTTAAATATATCTTTTTCTTTGCTAAATTATCTGTTTCTTAAATAATTACAGTTCATCGTTCTTGCTGTCGATAACAAGTTTTATATGTTATATTATTGGCTTAATCTTAAATATAAATGATATTATAAACTAGCTTTATTATACATATGGATCTTTATTTGGTTATCTGATTTGTGTATCGATACTGTAAGTTCATTTATGCAACCGTTGATCTACCATGAAAAATAAAATAAAAATAAAATAAAATAAATATATAAACCTTCCTCTTGAATTACTATGTATATTGATGAAAATCACATTAAAATCCGTTGTATAGTTTAAAAAATCTCACCATACAGACAGCGGGATAACAATTCTAACAAATTATAAATGATACGGGATGTCAGAAATTTATAATCTGTGACAGACAAAGCAAATACCCATTTAAATTATAACTGAAGTTTACAGGCGAAGGGGTTGATCGATTGCTTTAATTTTTCTCCGAGCTCCCAAAAGACAGTCTTGAAAGCTCACTTAAAGGCAGCAAGCCATAATTTTGCCAATCCAAACATAGCTTCGGCTGACTGATGCCTGCCATTTGATCCCGCTGTGTAACAAGTGTTTTTACGTGACTGTAATCAGGGCAATTTGCTCTATTTATTACAGGAAACGTTACAACCCGACGGAATGCTGAATTATAGAGAACAAAAGCCTTTATTTCATAAAATTTTTAAGGATTATAATTATTTGTTTATTATTTTTCTACTTTAATAGTGACTCGCCTAATTTTGTACGACTTTCATTTGCAAATTTTAGGTCGTAATATATTTTTCATAAATTTTCCTGAATTATCGTCATCATATTAACAGAATTGCTACCATATTCCTTATTTTTAACAATTCCCAAAATCTTAAACTGAAATATTACGGGTGGATGTTATGGGCAGATATATTATATTACTAGCATTTGCCAGCGGCTTCGCCCGCGTGGACCCTAGGGAAATGTTTAGTGTGATAAAAAGTATCCTATTATCTAAGTCAGCTAATACCCTATCTGTATACCAAATTTCATCAAAAACCGTTCAATAGTTTCGGCGTGATTGACGGACAAATATCCAAACATCTAAACAAATAAACTTTCACATTTATAATATATATATCTGTAATTTTCTGTAATCTTAGTGAACATAGTTTAAAATAATAATCATCCAAATCAAATTTATACAAAACCTCGCCAAAGATACCCAAACTATTTTGGTAAATTACTCCGTCTGAAACGTGGCTTCCTTCGGCTACACCCTTCCAATTCAGATATTTAATTAAATTACTGAAAATACCCCTGTCATCTTTTGCAACAACACCTTTTTATAAAATTAGAACAACTTTAACTTTAAAATGCACTCCTAAACACATAAACACACATCATACACTCACGCAGGGAGAGCGAGACACACACACGCACAAAATCACACAGATACACAAGATAAGCCGTATCTGTGTGAGTTTTGCTTTGTAATTTTCTTTTTATCTGCGCCAAGTCGAGCAAAAAATCCTTTTCTTTAAGCCATTCAGGCCATTTTTGACCCCTGTTACTTCTTTGTGAAATAAAAATTCGGTTCTGTGCTTTATTGGTTTAAAAGTACTTAGGTGATTAATAGGTGTGTGCGTTTGTTAAATATTCCTAAATCTATGACAAGATTGGATAATTACTCTCACAGAAAGATGGGTACTGAATTAATCGACTTGGTTTACGTTGATTTCATAACTTTTTACGGCAGAACAATTGCATTGTGAGAATTGTGCATTTTTGTACATATTATGTCTTTGATGGGATTTAATTTTTTATTTAATTAACTTTAAGAGCGTTACTTTGTACTTTGTAACTTCCTTATCATAGAGGTACTTTTACATACTTACAAGCAATGCTACCAAAAAGAGTTATCATGTTTGGTTGTTACAAAATCAATTTATTTAAAACTTTTTGGTCTTTATCGGTTTATTTCATATGATAATAATAAAGCTGTTACAGTTTCCATGCTAATGAGTGCGTAGCTAATAAAAAATAGATGATACTAGGAAGTGCTTGCATTCCATTCACGTACCTGAACTATAGGATTTATTTTGTCGTAGAACATTCCCGACCCAAGGAAGATACATCTTTATTAACGATTAAGTGTCTTGTGAGCGGCATTTATGCGATAGCTAAGCTAAAATAATGATCTATTCGAAAATTCTAAACCAAATAAGTCTTAAGATGTTATTTTATAGACAGGTGAAATAAAGATAAAACTTCTTCCTCTGTATTTACATCTAGAATGGGATTATTATAATATATTGGCTGATTATAAATATTTGATTTTAAATGTTATTGAGTCATTATAGTTTTATACTGTAAAACAGAAATGGGTAGCTACAATTTCAGATGTATTAGATGTTGATAACATGCCCATCCCAATTTTGACCTAATGACGCAACAGATTCGCGTTACTCGCAATATGTTGATTCATTATATCGCTGATTTTAAAACCCTGTATAAATTAACCGTCTGTACCACTAAAGAATTTTCTATCACAAAATAATACTATCATTTCAAGAATTCTTTCAGAGGATCATTAAACCATGTTTAAATTGGGTACATATATTATAAGCTAATGATTATAATCTTCCATAACGGAAACTTCGTCACAATGGCTTTTTCTATGCAGTTCACTCATTTTTAACGCTAAAAATAATACCTTATTTTCTATCCGACAACCGAAGCGTTATTGTTCACGTCATTTCATCGAATACCTCGATAACCGACCTAAATGGGAATAATGCACTTGTCAGAGATATCAATGTCAGCGGGCAATAGAATTACAAACAAGAGTGGTACTCTTAAAACCATTTTATGGTTCTGTAGTTGAAAAGATAGTGAAATCCTTGTACTCTAGACTATCTATCAAGAAACTTATTTCGGTATCTAGTGGAAATATTAACAA